GTTGTTGCCTTTGTTGTGTTTGCCTGCTTGCGCAAAGCCGGGAGTTCTCGATCGCTCCTTGATTGCTTTGCTTCCGAGCCTCTGCACTTTCCTTTGTTTGCAGCGCCCGAGGGAAGCTGCGCTGATACAAGGTATCCGCTTGCGGTTTTGAGTTAAGCGCTGCCACCTGTTGCCAATCAGCAGAGCGTCCGCTTGCGCTTTCACTTCCCATTTTTCTCTGCTCATGCCTGGGTGGTGAAATTGACTTAGGCGAAGCTGAGCGGTGCCTTCGCCGTACTGGGCCGTGCAGGCTGAATCTGACACTACCCACAATGAAGAATGGTTGGTGAAGATGATGGAACTTGCTGAGATGGCTAAATTAACTTCCCTGATTAGAGAAAAGACAATATCTACATTTATTGCTGACAGGAAAGCCCTTATGGACTTTTTGCATGAAACAGAAAAAAATGAACTTAAGATTTGTGGTTTTGATGATTAGAGAAAAAATTAGATAATAGAAAAAAGAGAGCTTTTCTTTTTGTAACCATAGAGTAAGAGATAACTTTGTAACCATACTGGTTTACAATCGGAAGCTACTACTTTCTATTTCTATTTCTTTTTATCTTTTCTTTTTGCACTTTTGTCTTTCTTTTCTTTCTCTTTTTCCCTTTCTTTTTCTTTACTTTATATTAGTTTTTGTTAGTTTTTAATCTTCTATTTAAAACTTTTAATAAAAATTATATATATAAAAAAGAAAAAGGCCTTTGATGAGGAAAAAGGGCATATAAGATAATTACTGCTGCAAGAAATGGGAATGTGAGATACTTTTTAACATACGTATATATAGAGAAAAGGTTAGCAGCAAAGTCAAATCAATTTTTATGGAAATAAAAAATAATTTCAAAGAGGATTGAGAGGACTCAACAAGGAGCCACAAGCAGAGTGAATTAAGAAAAGAAGGGATGAAATTTTGTGGGATTGCAAATGAAGCAAGGAAATGCTGGAAGAAGTATTTTACAGATTTGTATGGGAATAATAAAGATATACTAAAGAGGGGAATCAAAATACATGCAGTAAATATTAGTGTCCAAGAAAAAAACAATGAAAAGGAAGCTACAAATGTGAGAAAGTTGAAAAATTAAAGGCTGAAGGTATAGATAGCATAACTAGAGAAATATTAAAATATGGATGGGATTTATTTATGGAATGGTTGTGGAATTTGTTTAATATATGAAGACTGCATCTTTGTCCACTGATTGGAAGAATGCTATTATTGTTTCCCTATTCAAGGGGAAAAATAGCAAGATTGTATAACAAACACTACAAGGGGATTAGTTTGTTAAGGGTACCTGGGAAGGTGTTTGACAGAATTCTGATTGAAAGAGCACACAAGGTGATGAAGAGCAAAATTTTGAAAGTGCATTGTGGTTTTGTCAAGCAGGGGGTATTCAGACCAGATTCTTGCTCTTCAGCTGGTCATTGAGAAATATAAGTAAGAAAGTTTTAGTGTATGTTTATTAATTTAGGGAAATCATATGATAAAGTGAATAGGCTTAAATTATGGAATATTTTGCATGAATATGGAGTTGAAAGTTGATTGCTAAATGAAAGAAGAGGGTATCATGAAAGTAAGGGTATCCCCAGTGATGGCTGCCAGCTTCAAACAGTGGGTGCAACTGGACAATTGAAGCCCGGCAACTTTTGACATATGCCCCATGTGTGCAATTCATATTAAAAAGTGGTAGAGTGTTGATTGCCTCGCTGGGCCTGACTTTTGGAAGACACCCCTGAAGAAAGTAAAGCAAACATGAGAACAAATAGAATGCTTAGTGAATAGATCCACACTGGGCAGAGAGTAAGATAACAATCAGTGTTGCCCTCTTTATTTTTTTAATATATCAGTGGATAAATTTATAAGGAATGCTTGTGATGATGTTAGAAGCGTGTTAGTTGAGGAAGCTAATGAACATGACAGTGCCATATTATGGGCTGAGAATATGAATGATTTGCAGGAAATCTAAGATGGACTGTATGATTCAGTGATATAACTCTTCCGATTCTGAAGAACATCAATAATGCGATCTACACATTCCTGTGAAATGCCAAGTCTGACAGCAGTTTCCCTTTGAATGATCTGCAGATTGTCCTTACCCAGTTCATCACCTTTCTTATATGAAACTTGTTGATTGTCACAGGTTGTCCCTTTGTTCTTGATCAGAGAAATCAGCTCTTCCTGGTTCACCATTTTTATATATTTTTGGCCCAGAGACACACAGTACTTATGTCAACATAGTCATCACCATAGGAGGGCATGACTAGCCACCAGTGAAGATGCTGTGCTGAGCCATCTGCTGTTTCCCCAATCCAGAAACCATATTCCAAATGTCTAAATCTGCTGTGTAATGTGTTGTATATAAGGGGGCCAATCCTGCTTGAATTGATTGAGGAGGAAAATACCGTGAACTTTAATTGGAGGGATTCCTTCGACAGTAAAAAAAATTAATAATGTCATACTGTTTAAAGCGAATACTCACTGCAGGCTTAAATTTCACAAATAGCAATGCACCATTGTCTGACAGCAACTTTCCACAACTGAAGTGAAAGAACAAATGCTAAAGAACATGTCAGAACTTCTAGCATTATCGGTACTGCCATCTGTTGGTGAGTTATAACATTGGAGGCATTATTTTTCATTCAAGCCTCATAAAAGTATGTCACCTTTGCTATATGAAAGTAAGAGTTGAGTACATTAGGAGAAATAAAAGTAAACCATATGCAGTGACTCACTTAGGGTTGGTGGTAAATACAGCTGCTGTGCACTGAGGACAAAAGTCAGCAAATCTCGAAACAAATATACCTGTATGCATAAAGAGTGAATGGGCTGAAAGGAAGGGAAAACTGTAGAAGCTGGGTTGAGTGGAGTTAATGAAAAATTCAAAAAGAAAGAGATGAGAAATTTAAAGAACAAAAGACTCTCTAGGCATTGACATATAGTTTTGATGGAAGCAAGAATTGTTTGCAGGAATAGAAAATGATGGAGATGTCCTCTCCTGTCCTCTCCTCTCCTGTCATAAAGATGTATGTTCAGTTCATACTGCCTCTGTCTTTGGGTGACTACACTTCATCATATCCTTCAGTAAACTGAGTGAAAAACTGGTTACTTCCTGTATATCAGAGAATATCTCTATGAGGTTTGATATGTGTTCCAGTGGTATGAATTTATTTTTAAAAGTAAGTAATATTAAAATTAAGTTAACTTCCATATCTTTTAGAACTGATTTGTATTAGTGGGCCTTATTTGACTGTGTCCTGTTCTTATTCCCTAGGCCTGGCTCCTAAGGCTCTTTCTACCATTTGTACCTAACTATGATACAAATATGCCTTAGCAACATCTTTTCCATCATGTCCCCATGACTATTTTAAGCTGAGAACCTCCTAAGTGAGACACAAGATGTATGATATGCTTTGCCACCAATTGCTTTAGAGACAAGTCATATGACTAGTAATAGGTGGGATAAGGTTAGCATTTTGGGGGCACTTCAGGCTGATGAGAGTATGTCCCCTACCTGCCAGTCGCTGATCAGCCTTGCCTGCTGTCATTCTGCATTACGAGCTGGACAAAGTCGGTGGTCTATCAGCCACAGCTCTAGAGGGTGCAGCTGGCAGTACTGTAAGTGCTTTCACTCTTGGCCCTTACTGGTTTAGGCTGAAATGGCTAAACAGTGGAATGGAGGCAAACTGACTCCTTCTACCCATTGCCTCCCAAACAGTGCACAAAGGAAACTGGGAGTCAGCATCTGTTGCCTATATAAAGACAGGAAAGGAAGGGGAGAGACATTCTAGGGAAAAATGCTGCTTATGACTCAGTTCCCTGTGTGACTGTGATCTACTTTTTTTTAAACTTTATTCAGCTTCTTCATGGCAGAATGTGGGGGGGGGGAGAGGAGAAGAGAGGAAGCAATGGTAGATGGTTCTCCAGGCAAATCTGCTGCAGTCCTGTGATTGGACTAGTGACATGCAGAAGAGGGAGACAGCAGAGCCCAAGGGCAAAATTAGGATAGCACCATTTGGCAGTGAGCCAGAACAGATACATCAGAGCAGGTTAAGGCAGTTGTTTTTCAACCTCAGCAACTTCAAGATGTATGGACTTCAACTCCCAGAACTCCCCAGCCAGGCTACAGAAGTTAATGTGGGCCATTTCTAATTTTCTTTTCTTTCTTTCCTTCTGCTCAGTTCTAGTCTTATTCAGGAATGGTTGGGAGTTTTCCTAAGTGTAACATCCCTTTTCTGGGATGGGTGAAATTCTTCTGCATTGCTATCATCCAGACTGGCACACGCTGCTCAGGAAAGTTCTCCTGCTTTTTTTGATCCAAGATGGTGAGTCCACTCTTGGCAATGAGACTTCTGAGAATGTTCACGTCTCAGTTACACTACTGTCCAATGAATCCAGGACACAGACCTCCTGATAATGCCATTATCCTTCAAGCCATTCTGGCAGCAGATAAAAAACCTCAGCAAATCCTTATCTGTCAGATTTCCAGCAAGACATAAAATAATGAGATTAACTGTGTTCATGCATGTTACTACTCATGCACACTAGCTAGTCCATTTGCACCATACATATGTCTATACATGTACATCATGAACTGCAAACTTTGTTGCTACAGAAGAAGAAACTGTGGACAGTTGCTAGCACTAGGAAACAGTTAGTGGTAGGGAGCACAGAAATGCAAAGTTATTTTGACATGAGCAAGCTTGACCTGTGGTCTCTAAAAGAAAGACCAATACTTTGGTAGTATTACTATAAGTATTTAAAGCAAATACAGTATATCATCAGGCAATTAATCAATTGCATCCAGATACAATTATTTATTTCCATTAATAAATCATATGAAAGAAAATGGCAGACACATTTTTATTCCCACTGAGTTCTTGCATAGAGATTTACCTATGAGGTCACCATATTCACGTTCCTCTAAAATTATTATTTTGGCACTGAACATAGGATTAAATAAATGAGGAATATTATGGTGTGAATGGAATTCAAAGCTTGTCAGTATGTCCAGACAAGTATTTTATGAAGCAATCACCTCATTCATGGAATATAATGGGTGCTTTGAAGACAAGTTCCAGTCATAATCTTTACATATTTTATTACTCCTAATACCTTATTTCTTACTACAAATAATCAGTTACAAAGCAAAAGATGAATAGCTTAAACTTGGTGCTTCCAGACTGAGGGTTTCTAGTGCTGCCAATCAGAAGACTCTCAGTCTGGAAGCACCAAGTTTAAGATTTGAAAAAAATATTAGTGATGGGAGAAATTGTGTGGGATGGTTCACTTATATTTTAATATTAAGAAAACCTTATAAGGGGAAACTTCTTATCAAAACAAAACCAAACGTCAAGTATATCAGGGAACTTGCATTCAAAATGTGCATGAAAATGCATATGCATCCTTTATGCAGGCTTTTAGAAAAAGCATTCATGAACAATTGTAGAAACAGGATGGAACAAATTTGTGGTTGAATAAATGTGACCGGCATGGAATGTAAAACATTTTCATCTAGTCATAGGACATAGCATTTAGGATTCTCCTGGTAGATCTTTCCAAATCCAAGGAGATTTTGCATTCCAGTGGTATGCTTTATGTGCATTCTTCCCCCAAACTGTCATTTCATTGTGGTGTTTCCCAGCAAATAAAAGGCAGTGACAAATGCCCTTAAATCTTAGCTCATGTGAAATGGTATCTTTGACTCTTCAGATTTAAAACATGGCCTGCAAATGCAGATGCAGTCCTACAATATCACCCTATCCTGCAAGTTTCAGTGAGGTGGCTTTAAGAGTGGCTTATGATAGCTCTGCAGTTGAATCCATTGTTGATTCTAGCTTAAAAGAGGGAGAGGAAGCTGAAAATAATTCTTCCATGTAATATAATTATTACCTGTGACAAAGCATCTTTCTTCTGTTGTTGATTCTAGCTTAAAAGAGGGAGAGGAAGCTGAAAATAATTCTTCCATGTAATATAATTATTACCTGTGACAAAGCATCTTTCTTCTGTTGTTGATTCTAGCTTAAAAGAGGGAGAGGAAGCTGAAAATAATTCTTCCATGTAATATAATTATTACCTGTGACAAAGCATCTTTCTTCTGTCAGTGGGGCACGTAATAAGGAAAGAAAGACTGTGAATAGAATTTCAGGCCATAGCTATTTTGGGTACAAAGTAATCTTATCACTTGCCAATAAGACCAATTCCATGCCCTCCCTATCACTTCTCTTGCTCATATATTTTGACATGGTATTGCAGTTATAAGAAATGACACTGAATCCAGATGACATCATATTTTCTAGGAATTAGTGTGAATTCCTACAGGCTACAGCAATAATACATGTCAACTCTTTCTTTCTGACCTGATACAGGTTCATAAGTTTTGATCCTCTGCTAGAAAATACCCCATCATGTCCACAAGCTTCACATGTTTGAACATGGGAAGGAGAACATGTTTGCTAACTCTTCCTATTCCAGAGCCACAATCAAGAGCAAGGTCAGTGCCAGCTCCTCCAGGCCCCTGTAAAAAGGAATAAGACAAAGACTGTCATTATTCAAATCTTCCATATACCTCAATAATCTTTAAACAGAACCAACATTCATAGCAGGACACTATATTTATTAGGACTAAACAAACTGACACCAAAGTATGTACAGAAATCTTCATTAGGCAAGATGACAAAAATAACACAAAACAAGGGATTGAGACAAAGAAAGTTAATGAAATTGAGCCAGTGTTTCAACAGTAGTACATGTACCTTAGTAGCCTCGTGGTAAAGAATGTACACTGAATGCATTGGCCAGTGTTAAGAGTTGTCACAGCTACCATTTAGAGACCAAGAATAATGTCTGCCTCCTTCCAATTCTGAAAAGATTAAAGCTGTTAGATCTCAACTTGCATCTCCAATGTTGATTTCCCCCCCCTCATGGACTGGCTATCATTTTTTATGTGGCTTGAGATAGATCCGTATTGTTTTTGTATTAGAAAATCTCATGTAGGAGAACATGATTTTTATTTAGAACATGGTAAACAGAAACAGGAATATCAACCCTTCCTTCTCCAGCATCAAACCCATTGGCTTTTGGAGTTTATTTAGTTTCTATGACTGACTGTATATATTGCTTTGAGAGCTAATTTTTAGCAGAAAGTTAACTTAGATTTGTAATAAAATACATAACTAAAGCAAATGGATGGTTGAGATATAGCTTTCCAGTGTGGCTCATCAACAATATTCTCAGTGTTTAACTAGACAACTAATCAATGCCATGAAGATTGAGCTTACATTTCTTGTTGACAGTAGTCGGTGGCTCAGTGTGCTTTGCTGAAATAGGCTGTAGCTTCAAAGCCAAAGAAAAGCTGTAATGGAATCATTCTCCCGGTTGGCTGCCCCTCCTGACCTCTGAGCAACAGAACATTACATTATTAATGGTGTTTTCATAGTTATTCATAAATTGCATGATTCTAAAAGCTAGATTACACTGTGTAAATGGTTGAATTATTCTCATTTGCACAGATTGGATTCTCTTTTGAACTTGCAAACTTTCACATGCAAATTTAAAATTTGAGAAGAATTTTTCTCCCATTTTTACTCCATGACATGATAAAATAATCTCCAGTTTGCTCTTGTCCAAGAGTAATCTGAAACCCAAATGCTTGATTATTACAACATATGAGAAATGTAAAGAAAGATAACCCATGTAGATAACTTACCCCTACAAAATTCTTTAGAAAACCCCTAGATGACTGAATATCTCCATTGGATACTTCAACAAAATCTCCCATCATACTGTCTTCTCATGCTGACACTTCTCTGTAAAAATGTTTGGCTCTAGCATAAAATTGCATTTCACCATTGATGACTTCACTTGTCAGGGCACAAAGTTTGACTGAAAAAAGAGAGCAACAATTAATTAAAAAGCATCCCCATGAAGGTATGAAGCAGACAGCTCAGCAGGAATTTGAGGGAAAAAGTGATGTAGGGCAGATATTTTGCATATAGAATCAAAGAGAAATAACAGGATATACATAGCCATAAATAGGCACATACTATTCATAAGTGAATAATAATCTAATGATTTTTTTCATCAACCGCACCCCTGGTTTACCTCCCAAGGAGCAAACAAATCAAGAGGAGCATATGCCCAAATTGTAACCAAGCAGGAAATGTACTCTCCAGTTTTTCCTACTAGTAAAGACGTGAACAAAATATTGCTCTAGAAATAAAGTGCAGAGAAGAATCATAAGGTCCTTCTAAACTACAAAGGTGGTATCCCTAGGTTTAATGAGGTCATTTTCCCACTCATTCTGTTCCAAAGCTGTCAACAAAAGACCCAATAGCTTAAGAAGGAAAAACAGGAGTCATCTACAACACACAGTCTAAGGACTGTAACAGCCCCTATGACAGGCAGAAGACTAGCAGAGTGCATCCATGAACACCAACTAGCAGTCAGAAGACACAATGAAAACTCCTTAATCTCACAACACATGGACAGACTTAACCATAGTTTCAAATGGGAATCTGTGAGCATCCTAAATCAAGCTAAATCCAAAAATGCTAGGGAATTCCTGGAAGCTTGTCATTCAGACAAATCAGCCATCAATAGACCCATAAAAATAAACCATATTTACACACCATTCAAAAGAGACAATAACAATGCTAAGAAGGAAACAAAAAGACCAGAACACATTCTCTCCAGCAAACAACACCCAGATAAGCAGGGATTAACACCAGACAAACAATCAAGCAGAACACAATACCCTAATCAAGGAACTACCAAGGAGAAAACCACACCCTGCCCAACTAGCAGGGCAAGCTACTGTATATAAACAGGGAGCAATGGTAAAACAAAGAAAATATTATTCATAATGTAGACCACATTTAAACAAACTTTTCCAAATTTTGGTAACATACACTACTGGAATATGGAATAGCCTAGACCAGTGTTTCTCAACCTTGGCAACTTTAAAATGTGTGGACTTCAACTCTCAGAATGAAGTCCACACATCTTAAAGTTATCAAGGTTGAGAAACACTGATCTAGACAAATCACCTTCAGATCTCTTGAGATGAATGCACTCAAAAGTGCAGCCACTTCAAATGTTTTACCTGTAGTATAACCTAGCACTACAACTTATCTTCCAGATATGTCAGGACTATAAGTTCATGGAGGATTCAGGAGCCTCTTGCTGTGTCCAGTGCTGGGGTGGTTTGCCAACAGAGTATTGCCCTACTCTTACACCCAAGGTAGGAAGTTTTTTCCCCCCATGTTTATCTGCCATTTAAGCATATCAATGAATATGCTTTTACAAATGGCAGTGCTACCCTGGCAGTTAGGAATACCAGTTATATCATAGCCTTGAACTGGTAAGTGCCCCTGTTAGGTGGAGTTTTGCTAACTCAAACCAAATAATGCTGTAAGTCTGCTCCTCTTCAAAGTAAACTCCATGAGAGAGAGAGAAAAAAAATACAGGTTTGAGGATGATGACAAACCTACCAAGGCCAAGCCAAATCACTGCTGAATAAATAGTATGTGTATGCCTTTCTGCTGAAATAATCACCACTCTTCAGCTTTACCTACTCCACTACTGGTGTTCTTGTTCACTACTAAAAATGACCAATCCATAGGTCAATGCATAATCAACCTTCCATATCCTTTAAAATGCAACTTGCAGAAACTATGAGTCCGTTTTACAGTCTTGTGATATTATCTGGACTGAGTTTGATTCTGTTACACCTGAGAAAGCAGACAAGGTCCTCCTATTAGTTTGGCCACCTGTTTGTTAGGTCCTGACCCCTCCTTAGTTATTAAGGCAGCCCAGAAGGTGACCACAGTGCTGAGTCCACACAACACTTTCAGACTTCTTAAGAGAGGGGATGTTCCCACCAGCCTTGAAGGAGGTGGTAGTATATCCCCTCCTCAGGAGGTTGTCACTGGATTTCTCTCTGTTGGGTAATTATCAGCCAGTTTCCAATCTTCCCTTTTTGGGGAAGGTTGTGGAAAAAGTGGTCAGATGACAGCTACAGAGGATCTTGGAGGAAATGGATTACCTGAACCCATTTCAGTCTGGTTTCAGACCAGGGTACAGTATGAAGATAACACTCATCATGCTTGTGAATAACCTTTGGCAGAGCCAGGATGGGGGTGATACATCCATCCTAGTGCTCCTTGATCTCTCAGTAGCTTTTGATACTGTTGACCACAGTATCCTTCTGGACTAGCTGTGGGGGTTAGGAGTGGGAGGCATTGTGCTCCAATAGTTCACTTCCTTCCTTGGCGGTCAGTTCCAGTTGGTGTTGATGGAGGGGAGAGGTCATGTCCGTGGTTCCTCACGTCTGGGGTGTCTCAGGGCTTGATGCTCTCCCCTCTCCTGTTTAATACCTACATGAATCCACTGGGTGAGGTCATTCACCAGATGTCAGCCCTTCAAGGTATACCAGAGTAGGGAACCAGAGTTATGAAAGGTAATACTACTTTTATAATAAAGTTACAGTAACAGAATCTTGTAAGTCTGAATGCACTTCCTCCTTCCCTCCCTTTATCTTCATGAGAACCAGGGAGAGTCATGTCTGAGATGCTTTTTCAAATTACATTTCTGTCACAGACTCAGATTTCTTTTATCTGACCATTGTTTTGGTTGCTGCTCTTCCTCCTGTTCCTCAAGGTTATTTCTACTGCCCTGAACCTATTGGTTCGGGGATCAGTATCATCAGTATGCTGATGCAACCCACCTTTACATCTCAACCCCAAGCTGCACAGGTGAAGCTGTCAATGTATTGACTCAATGTCTGGAGGCTGCTCAGGTCTGAATAGGGTGGAATAGACTTTGGCTCAATTCTGACAAGACTGAGTGGCTGTGGCTGTTTGGCCCCTCCAGGTTCAGGGATGTTAGCATTGTTGGTTTTGGATGGGGCTGCACTTTCCCATTCGTGACTGGTGCAAAACTTGGGGATCCTTCTGGACTCGCAGCTACTGCTACAAGAGCAGGTGACAACTGTGGCTAAGACAGCAATTGCACAGGTTCACCTGGAATGCCAGTTGCACCCTTTCCTTGATCGGGAGGCCCTTCAGACAGTTATTCATGCCCTGGTCACCACACAACTGGATTTTGCAATGTACTCTACACGGGACTGCCCTTGAAGACCACCTGGAAGATACAGCTGGTTCAAAATGCAGCGGTGCAAGCAGTAATGGGCACCTTCCAGTATACCCATGTGTCACCACTGCCACACCAGCTGCATTGGTTGCCAGTCAGCTTCTGAGTGTAATTCAAGGTGCTGGTTATTATCTTTAAAGCTCTTCATGGCATAAGGCCTGGATATCTGAGGGACCACTTGTCTCCAACAGCTCTTGCCCACCTGGTATGTTCAGGCAGAGTGAGTGTTGTCCAGGACACCCCATTAAATCTTGTGGGACCAAGGAAGTGTGCCTTCTCTGTTGTGGTTCCCACCCTCTGGGACAGCATTCACCCAGAGATAAGCACAGTGCCCTCTCTCTTAGGGTTCCAGAAAATTCTTAAAATCTGGCTTTGGTCCCAGGCTTGGTGTTAATGTATTATTGTATTTTGGGGGGGCCTGTTTTGTTTGATGTGTGTTGCTTTTAGGATCATTTTAGTCTAGGCTGTCTGTGTGGTTTTATGTTATATCTGTTTTGGTTTCACCCAGAGTCTATTGGAGATGGACAGCTATAACAGATTTGAATGAATGAATGAATGAATGAATGAATAAGATAAAATAAATAAATTTCAGTATGTACAGAAAAGTTCTAGGTGATGACCCAAGCTATTCATAAAGTATTTGGAATTGAATTATAAAGCTAGTTTGTGACTAATCTGCTCAGTACAGAATTAACCAGTCTCATATTCTTACTGAACTCATACAAGATTTTTTTTTTAAATTTTGAGATTAAGGAAATTTTAATCAGCTTTAATGATCACAAGAAATATTCAATTGCTTAACTACTATTTGAATCCACTAGTTCCCATGATAAAGCTAGTGCCACTGAAACCAGAAGAGAAACATATTTGAACCCTATTATATGTGGATGACCCAGTAATACTTTCCCAGATTCTGCCTGGCTTAAGAGGGGGCACTGTGAGCATCGGTCCATTCTGAAGCTCTGGAAATCAACAATAACAAGACCACAATGGTAGTTTTTGCAAAATGGAAATACATGTTTGGGCTTTAAATAATCATCCTATTCAGCATATTAAATCTTTTAACTACCTAGGCATAGTTTCCATGCCACGCCTCATGCAGAATGCATAAAGGCTATGTAGCACAAAACGTCCAGAAAGCTGCTGCAGCATTGCAATCATTTGTCTATAGTAAAAGGGCTTTATTTATCCCAGCTGCATTCCAAGTGTAATCAGCTAAAGTTAGAGTGCACAGCTATTATTTGATGCCCAGTTAGGCCTATATAGTTCTTTTGGTCCTCTAGAAAGAGTTCACACCAAATTTCTTGAGACTATATTTCAAGTCCCCTGCTGTGTTTCAAACACAGTTCTCTGCCATGAGGTTAGCACTAGTAGGATTTTGACCAATCCCCTGTCGCACATTTTCATACATTGGGACAAAATATACTTTGCTCTGTAGGTCTGATATCTCAAATTCTTAATGACAACTGTGTGTCATCCTGGCCCAAAGCAATAGGCAAAAAAATGGGAGTTCTTTGGATTTTCATTAATCAAACTTTGCACATTCGGCAGAAGATTATCCAATTAGACCTGGCATCTCTTCCCAAGAATATACTCCTGATCAACTTGTTTACCCTCCTTAGACCTGCTAGCTACCTAAGTCAAATTAGAATCCCTCAATATAGGAGGGCATTCTCCTTGATTCAGTTTGATGCCATTCCTACTGTAGTCCTAGAAGGGGCATACAAAGTTATCCTATTTGGGCTAAGGTTTTACCCATGTGGTAATGGGGCTTTCAGAACTGTTAAATGCATTTTATTATATTGCCTGTTTTATGCTGGCACATGGTCAGAGTTGATAGTTGATAAACAAATTTCCTGGTCATTCTAATCAATTCTACTTAAACTGTTTATTTTTGGATATTCATGACTCCATTATTCTAAATTTATCTAAATTCTGCTATGTCATATGCAAAATGTGCAGCCAATTGGCTGATATTCCCAGTTAATTTTACTGTTTGTTCATTTTTTTCTATATATGAAACCGGTTTTATACTATTGAGTTTTATTATGTACTGGTCTTTGACCACAATAAAGATTTCTCCTTCTTCTTACATTCTAATAATTTTTCTAATTATTCAGCCACTATTTGAATATAGAAAGTGTTAACAGTTAAAGAAGAGTTCACTGGAACTGAGAACTTGTCTCTGGCCTATTCCAGAATTCTTTTCCCTTGTATGTCTTTTGCCAGTCCAGTCTCCAGTAAAATAATCCAGAACTTGTAAAAACCCAAATATTATAATTGGAATAATTATATATTTCAATAAATGTAGACATTCTGGGATTTCAAGGCAAATCTGAACCAAATTCTAAAAAGTCCACACAGTTGGCCAATTTAGAACCAGCAAGATGGCCAACTAAAGATGAGGGCAGAGGCAATACATATAAAAAAAATTGTTAGCTTAACCTACTCTGTTGCTCTACGGTTACAGAAACAATTTTTATTTTACAGTTGCGTGAGAGATGCTTTGCCATTTCCAACTTTCTACAGAAACTATGCCTGAATTGAGAGGATCAAACTTCAAAGCATTCTGCTTTCTTGGATGAAGACAGACATATAACATTTATGTGAAAATGAAATGGTTTGAACACATTCCAAAGCATATTACTTCAGTGCAGAGAGAAATCACTTCCATCACACTAACAAGGTTATGTCTGTCTTCACTTGTGTTAATTTTTGTGCAGCTGGAGAAGGCAGTTCTTGTAGTAGTCATAGTAGTCAAAGGAATAGATTTAGGTTATGGAGTCCAGTAGAAGTAAGGAGAATAGGCTGAACCAATGTTCAGTGTGCTCATTAGTCCTCTTTGTTCAAGAGCAAGGCTAAAAAATCTGCTGAGAATATTTTATGATTTGTGTAGCAAGAAAATCAGTGTAAAATTTAGAACTCACAACACATTCACTAGCCTGTACCGTATTCAGGTAATACAAAATTGCCCTGAGGAAGCTCTGGAATAGAATCCTTTTAAAAAAGAAAAACTAAGGGAAGTATCTGTCTGCATTTTGCTGGAGGTCCAAAGCCAATAGAACTGACTCTTTGGCACCTTATGACCTACTGACTACAGATAGAGAGTTAAGGATTTACTCTCTGTGTTGCCCTCTTTGTTTATCACTTTGCCTATTCTTTGTCTAAGAGATTGCTAATCTGAGGTCACTTCCTCCTGCCTTTCTTCCTAGGCACACATACACAGAGCTCATGCTCTTGGAATCCCATCCTAGTAGGATGCAGCTAGCTAGGTACTAGGCTTTGCCTAACTCTATCATGTATTTTGTATAAATAAATCTCATTTATCTTATAAAAGCTGCTTTGTTAATCATTGGTCATAACAGATTCCCACACTCAGGAACACTCACACACACACACACACACACACAACACTCTAACCTCAAATATATTTTAACTCTTCACTTGCAATCTTACAGGCGGAACAGCTTTAGTCCTGTTAAACTGAGTAGGGATTATATGTGAGTAGACTACCATAGATTTCAGACAATTCTGAAATAGTATGTGGAACTTCCAGGATAGATCAGACAAAATACAGCAAGTGAGCTTGAACCATTCTGATTTTTTTTCTCTATTCTTACCTTAACAAGGATAAAATGATATTAGTTTAACTAAAAAGCAGTATTCAGCTAGTGTCAGTCAGACTTACAGTTCCCCCCACTTTGCTTCCCTCCACTGTCTGTCCACAAAGGAGGTTAGAAAATAGTTACTTTATGACTATCACCTAACTGCGCTACAACTGTGTATCTGCTGACCATAGAACTGTTTCTGCTGCCTATCCTAAAATGCAGTTGCTAATAAATTCCCTAAAGAGTCAATCAAGGGCTTCAGTGAAACTTAGCTGGCAACCAAGCAGTTAGCAAAGTTTGGGCCTTCTTTCTTCCACTCTTTTTGGATATCTGCATAGGCTACACAGATCCCCTCCTGCATTATTCTCCTTGAATAGCAAACCCTATGCCAATTCTTCTTTGATAGTCTTGAATCCCTCAGGAACTTGCATCTCTCCAGCAGCATGAGACTACCTAACTACATTTTTGCTTGTTAGAAGTTCCTTCTAGTTCTTCTCTTTTCTCCAGCTTCAACTCAACTTTCACCCTTTTCTGCCAGTTTCTTAGTCTATTTAACAGTCTATCTGTCTATGAAACTATCAGATTTCTCTCAGCTGTTTCCCAGATTCCTGATATCCCCAAGTACAGTTTGTATAAATGGGAGATCATATGACAGGATGGCAGACAATGTTTACCTTCTCCTTTGTGTCACACACATAGGTACATAGAAATAAGTGCAATTGACCTTAGTAGAACCTACCTCTTGAATAGACAAGCATAGGACTGTATTATATCAACACTATAGGGTCAAAAGGCTGGCTTTCCATAATCTGAGTTGCACTCCTAACTGCATTCAATTAATTAATTGGTCAGTAGCATTGACTAATGGGATTGTTGATGTTGCTTTTGGCAATAATTAAATATTTACAGAGGGCTTGCCAAGATTTTCTGGTTGACTGCAATCCATATTTTTATGGTAGTTTTCCCTCAGCATCCAATTTAGGAAATTGGATCATCCTTTCAACAGCGAATAAACTTATTCATTTCACAACTGCAAATATTTTGGGACTATGATATCTACATACTCAAAAGCAACTGTTCCTGTTATTTCCTACCTGTTCACAATTACAATACTTGTTAAGACATTTAATTGGAACTTGGACAACTGTAACAGAGAACAAGGGGAACAAAATTGCCTAAGCTTAAGATGGGGCTCAGTTCCATAACACTGTTGTGGCAGAATTTCTTTTGGGATAGTGGTAGGATTTCCTAAACACACAAATGAATATAACCAGTTTTGAGTATATTCAGCATATGTTACTTTCACTACAGACTGACCTGTCTCTATCTTGAATGTACAGAGGACATCTGATAAAATGACTACCATGGTATCTCTGATTGAATCTCTGCTTCAGATTTTAGAAATCAAACTTTTCACACCTACTACTAATCAGTGTTGAATAAAACTGCCAGTACTGATTTTCCAGTTACTCGCCTAGAGGTAGGTTTTCCAAGTAGAGATAACTTTGGAAGAAGTCATTTTGAATCAACTTATGTAGGATAGAGGACATACTGTGCCAACAAACTTCCTCATCAATCTTATGCCAATGTGATTTAAAAGCTAAATGGACCCCCACATACTCCATATGGTTCATAATTTTGAGAAGAAATTGCTGTAATTGTACCTTAAAAGGGACCTGTCCATTCTCACAGCTTTGATAGTATCATTTAAAACCACAGCCTTTTCTATCATTGTATATTTGGTTGGATGTTTGCCTTTAGGTTCTGATGCTTGCTCAGAATAACCTCTGAATCTCATGTTCCTAAACTAGCAGGCTTTCAGAAGTGGTAAAAAGCTACATTGCTTATACAATGGAAAAGCATATCTAGTCACTATGAAGTCACTGAAGTAGTGCCATCATCTCATTAACTTCTTGAACAGAATAATAATATTTTCCAGGAGTCCTTCCTGAAGTATATGGCATTGCAGAAGATTTGCCAGTACAGTATGAGGATCACTTCTTCACCTATGTATCTCGCCATAAGCCACTCAGATCTTGGGCTATACATATGACCCCCTTTATACTGTATTGCATTCATGATAATGCTTTCTGTATACCACAAAAGAGCAACTATGAGCTTTTAAATTCTGTTCTTGGGGGTGCTTACAAAGAGATGAGATACATTTTATAAACATTTTCTTTCCCCTAAAGGTTCACCACTTTTTTGGTACAGGTTAAGAATGCCCCGTTTATGGATGGCCCACAGTTAGGAACAGAGCCTATTGTAGCAAAATTTGAGTTAAATACACAATTATTCAAGTTAAATACACAATGGTTCAAGTTTGTTACACAATACTACTTATACAGTATCATACAATAATACTGTTCTGGCTTACGTACAAATTCAACTTAAGGACAGACCTTGGGAACGGAACTTGTTCTTAAACTGGGAACTACCTGTATTTCAAATCAGATATAAAGTATTTATATTTGTGGAAGTATTTAGTGTGTGTGTATACTTTGGTAGCCGTGTCTTGAATATTTGTATAAATAAGCCTGTAGCACAACTGTACTGTGAAACTATTCCATTCAGTTTTGTGATATACAGTATATCACATGCAGAACGTTATCTTCTTCATTGCTGAAATATAGATGGTAAATGTCTTATGACAGTAACCTATCAGGACTTATCTCCTGTATCTACAGTATATTACCTTGTCCAGCATAATGTTAATTGAGAGCAATGGAGTAAGTCAGTCCTGCTAGTCTTTGTGTGTGGGGATGGGACATCTACCAATACATTTCTTTTTATTCCTTTAGTATTTTTTTAAAATATGCTAAAGTGATGAAGGTAAATGCCCATCTCAAAACCTGTTATAGCATCACACAAGAACTAGGATGCAGTCATCAGGAATAACGGTCAACTTAAAAGCATACTTCCCTTTTTAAATATTTGAAATAGGTATGTATTTTTTAGCCTACCTAAAGACTTTAAAATGAGGTTTATATTAAAACAAATTGATATCCTTTGCCTTTTTTTTCTTTTTGACTGCAATCTCATTATGTTCTATGACAAATATTTAAGCCTACGCTAAGATTAATGTTGATTTCAGATCCTCAGGCAAAAATTGAAGCCTGAATACTTTGGAATCAGACCATAAATCCCGAACACAGCCTGAGTCCAAAATCCAAAATAAGTCATTCTTTAAGCAAGCAAATTCATTGTTTGGATTGTCTCTGAAAATACATGCAGTAATTTAATTAGAAAATAGGTTCTTAAAAGATAGGCTCTGAAATAGCAAGCTCAGACTCAAAATACCACAATAAGCAACTCTTTATTCTTCAACCAGAACACAACAGTTCTTGGCAGTGGTACAGAAATGGCTTGCCATTACCTCCTTCTAGGTGTTTGTTTTTTTCAAGTTCCCTGTCAAGCCTATAGCCGCAGGATTTCCTGCAAGTCTCCCATCCAAGTATTAACTAGCCAATCCTCAGCTTTCTCTGAGATCAACCTGTGATTGTTAGGACCTTCTACCTACTTCAGGCTACATTTATATACCTAAACAATTTAGCAAGGAGCAGAGCCCACCATTGTGCACTTACCTTACCTGGCAGCATAACTCCTCCTGTAGCCTTATTTAGAGTGAAGGAAGATATTAATCTGAGAGCTTCTTTAGCTGTAATTCATGCCCATGGAGCTCAGCAATGTCATCCTGATCTTAATTTCTTCAGACAGACACATGGAATATGGAAAGAATACTAGCCTATGCTATGGGGATTTCCAAGGACCATCAAGATAACCTATGTGAAGTGCTACGAAGAGCTATAAATCTGCTAATTGAATATTACAATACAATAAAGAACGTATTAGGATACATGGTGGTGAAAGATGACAAGCAATACAATCACAAAGCTCCTACCTACAGGATAGGAAAAGCATATGTATTGAGAGTAGTTTTGAGCAGGTTAGCATCTCTAGTAAGATGTTCAGAAGCTGTTTGGTATTATGTGTATTACTCTACTTGCTTTTCTGTCTTACTGATTACTAGCATCCACCAACTTGTAGCTAGTGCTATGACAGACTATTGAAATGTATTTATTTGGCAACAGAAACCAATTGTTTCATTAGGGTATTATTGGGACTCCATGTTTATATTTCCCCAAAAAGCATTGCTTGGTGAAGTTATATGTATGAAAGATGCTGAAAGTATATACTGTATATTTTGGGTATCTAAAAACAAATTCTTTCTGGACTGAGAAGCATTTTTAAATGTATGCTGTCATGGTGAATTTTTGAGGCTCAGTCCTGAATTTAAAAGATCATTCTTAGAATATCTGCCATATTTTCCAAGAGAAAAGTAGCCAAAACAATTCCATATGGGCATGTTGCCCTCTGTTGGTTGGTTGTTCCTTCAGAGGAAGACCAGTTTGCTTCTCCAGGCCTAAAGACAGACCAACGTTTTAAAAAAGAAACTTGTAAGATCCACTCATTTCTTTTTTTGTCCCACTGTTGATGTCGTCAAGGAGATTTTAGCATGCATGAAAGTGACTTGGTCTTTAGGTAATTCATTTTGTTCACCCAAATTTGGAAGAGATGTTGGCTCTTGATAAGTTCACGTTCCCCTTTGAAAGCAGCTCACAATTGTGCAGCTTCGCCTGACCTGGCATTGTTTTCCAGTACCTTAGGCCAAGTAGACAGTTTTGTGTGCTAAGTTTACCCTTTCCTGGAAAATAAGAGCTAATCTTAAGATTGTGCTGAACACCTAATTAAAAAAATGTAATAGTAACTTCATTTAACAGGAGTTGCTCCATGTGATGTTTTAATCAGAATGACATTCCATGACAGCCTATTTTTTTCTCTGAGTAAAATCTTGAAATCTTGACAATACACATACACACACACCCCTCTTAGCAGTTCCTGATTTTCATCAAGCTTGAGGCAGGGAAAGAAAAAGTTAAACAATGTATTATGGTCCTGATAAATAACATTCCTCACCAAGCACACACACATACACATTGCTATTAACTAAATTAAAACTGACAAGTTTAATAAAAGCTACCATCAAAGCTAGACTTGGACATTATCATGCATACTGTGGTATCTTTTAATTTGATTTCCTATGATGTGTTTTATGTGGTTGCCTTTGGAAAATCAAAAAAAAAAAAATCAGCTGGAAAGACTACAGCAGCAGAATCCTTTATTAGCTCCACTGGTTGCCAGGTTTTTTTTTTTTGGTTTTTTTTTTAATCTTTAAAATCTTGGAGGGGGAGTTGCTTCTTCTTCTTCTTTTTTTACTGTGAGTTGAAATCAGTAGATGTTGCTTCAGTTGCTGATGTCACATCTTAACCGAGTTTGTCTGCTATCACAAATGTCTGTTTCTCTCCAGAAACTGAGACTATAGAATTGTAAAGCATGATGTTGACAGTTATGGTTAAGAAGAAGCAGATTGTCAATTGCTCTAGAGTCTAATGGATAGGAAAACATTTCTAATATATAGGTAGCCCTCATTATCTACAGTTCCATTACATGCAGTTTTGTTCATTTGCAGGCATCAAATACAGTACATACAAAGACTTTAGGTGGTTTTCTCTTTTTTTTGTTGTTATTGTTAGTTTATACCTGCACAAAATGGCAGATTGGTTTTTGTGGATGTGTAAAGTACCTTTTCCAAGTCCTTTTTATCTGCGGTTAATAAAACCCGGATAATAAAAAGGGATATTTTACATTAACTAAGTGGGCTAGAGAAAATCCATACTTTTGTGTAGGTAAGAGGATATCTTTTTGTTTGTCCAACCCAGAAAAATAGCCAAAGCACATACCCACTTCCCATTTCCTCCCAGCCCTTATGTCTGCAAGTACAGTGATGACACAGTTCACCAGTCACTGATATACTGGGCCAAGCAACAACAATGGCTGTTTCATTACCAAAGCTACTTCTAAGGTATCACCTCAAACAGCCATCACAGACCAAAATAGAAGAATAACACAGGTCATGGTAATGGGTGAAACAACTGGACAGGAAGCACTAGACCCATTCTTCAGCACTGTGACCAGGTAACACCATCATAACTGTATCTCATGGGCAGAGGCACCACTTGGGTAGGCTTATACTGGTCTCTAAATCCCCTTGGGGCGTTGGTTCTACTCAGTGCATAATTCCTTTTTACTACGGTTCATTTGCAGGCTGACTTCTGTCCTAAAGTGACAAACAATCTTAAAATAAAAAAAAATGCAATACTACAGTAATTAGTAGTAGTAGTAATTAGTAGTACTATATTAATTAATACAGTAATACTACTGTTAAAATGATACATTTTTATAAAGAGATTGGAGGTGGCATATTGATTTTGGAAGTACTCAAGGCCACCTTCCTATCTGCCACAAAGGAAAGAGGGTAAGATTCTGAGCTGCATGAATAACATCATTTATTAATGTGAAATGCTTTAATCCTTCAGGTAGACAGTTGTTGTTAAAATATTATCACTATCTTTCAAATAACTAAAATACAATTGGAGCAGGGAGATGACAAACATTTATAATCTAACTTCATCTCCTACCTAGAGATCTCTTTCTAATCTATTCAACTATTCACAGAACATTCCAGAGTAATTTTCTGGTTTATAGAAAAGCTCACTTGGTTTCT